TTATAATTTTTGTGCACTTGATCTGCTCAGGACCGAGATGGATATGCTGAGCCACCATTATTAGTGTTTGGCTGCATATTCTTTCATTCCTTGTATTTCTACTTCAGGAAATTTGTTCTGTTTATTTGCCTTGATGAATAGACATTATATTTTCTTCGTGAATTTTAGCCTTTGCCACTGTAAAGTGTCTGTGCACAATTAATTTTAGAGGGTTGAATTATGCCTGTGTGATCTCAAGATCATATAATCTGCCTTATTTTTATTTTCGTTTGCCTGATACACATTTGCCCATCTCGTTTTTTATCCTTTCTGGATCACTTTGACATTGCCTGCATTCAACATAGATTCAGATTTGCTTTCTTACTTACAAAATTCAATCTGAGCCTTTTCTTTCCAAAAGATGAGTTTATACTACTTGAACCCACTGATATAATTGATTTGTTGATCTCAGTTCTGTCCTGTTGCTTTAGTTTTAGAATCTCTCATTTTATTTCCTCATATTTAGATATCTCTTTGGCACTTAACAGTGATTTCATTCTTGTCCTAGTAGCTATCTTTTAGTAAAGCCTATATATAAAACTCTTAGCCAATCCCCTACTAAGCCCAACATTGAAACTGTCTAGCAATCATTTTTCATCTCTCTATTCCCTCTCCTCTACTATCCAGTTTTAGTCATTAGAATTATCTTAATATTTACATTATCAAATAAATCTAGGAGTGTACAATTCTATTGTCAGCTTCAAGTGATAGCCTTTTCCTAATTATTCTCTATGAGAAAAATCGAAGGATTTATCCTACTTTCTAGAATACTCTCACGTCTCCCATTTTTGTATTATATTTAAACTGTAATAGATATAAATCTACAAAGTGTTTTGGGGCCTCATCCTCATCTTTTAGTTCAGTTATATTGTTGAACATTTTCATTGTTCACCCTGAACCATATGTTGAAGCTTCTTCAATCTCACCTTGGTTTTCTAAAGCTTTTTTCTTCAAGAATGAATCATGGCAACACTATTCATTCGTTTTGGGCATGTTCATAACAGTGTGTCTGGTTTTACTCTTAAAGGACAATTTATCTTGCTATTAAAAATTATTAACAAAGATTTTCTCTTTTAGCTTATGTTAAATATGTTCCTCCCAGTGTTTTCTAATGAAGAATAATGGTTTAGAGAAGTCTAATGCTCATTGATATTCTTCCTTTTATAAGTTTTTGAAGATTTGAAGAAAAAGATGTTTTGTTATTGTTTGTATTGTTTTTAATGATTACTCAAATCGATTAACTAAGCCATGTTTTAGTGCTGACGAGCCTGGTTCAATTTTCACAGATGCCCTTTCAATATACAGATTGAAGTAATTTCTGAAAGACTATTTTTGAATTACAATTTTAAATATAGTTCTGTTCTTGCTTCAAATCAAAATGTTCAGGGAATCCAATTATATGGAGTTGAATCTTTTTTGCCAAACTTCTATATCTGCCCTTTCATTTTCTTCATTCATGTATGAATTTATTTCTCTTCTCCCTCATACCCTCTTTTTCCCTTATTGTGCTCTCTGTAGTTACCTAATCTCTACAGTATTCATTCAAATTTGGTTTTCATTTCTGAAAATTGTTTTCTAATGCTTTCCTAAATTTATCAGTTTTCACATTACATACTCCTGTTGTCTAGCAATTTCATTTCTGATCTCTTCTGTTTCTGCTTTAGCTGTTCTGTTCAAGTTTATGTGTTTTCTTAATTTAGTGCAGCTCATTTGCAAACATATTGTTAGTTGTCATTTGCCTAGAGAACACATTTTTCTGGTGTGGTCTCATTGTCTGTGCCAGTGTTTTTTGGCTCATCCTCATCTCTTTGTATTATAAGAAGGATTATCAGATTCAAAATTTGTATGACACAGTAAATAGAAAGTAGGACATATAGGAGAAATAGAGACAAAGATAGTGAAGTCGAGACCTATTGTGAAGCTTCTTGTACAGCAAGCACATGAAAGATATGTGGTTTGTAGTCTACGTGGTATTCGAGAACCAGCAAAATATTTTAAGCAGAAAAGAATCATGATCAGCAATAATTTGTTTTCCACCCATTAAAAGTTTGTTAAAGTCTTCCATTATGATTGAGGATGTTTCTTTTCATCTTAAGAGTTATAGTACTTTTGCTTTATATATTTTGAAACTGTTATTGGGTGCATACAGATTTAGAATTATGACAATTTCTATATAGACTGGCATTGTTGTCATTATTAAATGCCCCTCATTATCTTTTAAAGTCTTTTAAAGCTTTAAAGTCTATTTTCCATTTAAGTATTTTCACAGCAGCGTCATTTCCCATAAATGTTCTCTCTTCATACTTTTAATTTCAGTTAATATATTTTCAAGTTGTGGTAACATATATGTTGAATAAAAAAAGTGTTCAAAAATTTCAAGAAAATACAATGTACACAGTTGACGTACATTTGGCTCCTGAAAGAATAGATCCCTACTTAAATGTGCTCATGAATTTCTTAAGCAATATACAAGTAGTGTTCAAGCATTTGAAGCAAATAAGGATTTCATATTATACCTGAAAACCAGGAAATTATTATACATAAGATGTTCTAAAAGACAATTTAATTAAATAGATGGATGGATTTAAATTGGTAAGAGAGTTTTAAGCACTTGCAATTTAAAGGAAAAACCAAAACTTCCATTATTTTGTTGTGTTCATGGTGGTGATGGTGCTGGCAAGGGTTTTGTTCAAAATTAAAAAAAAAAAAGTGTCCAAAATGGTGGCAAATAGTTCATATTGTCAAATAAATGTTACTTATTTTAATATTTTAAGTTGTTTTAATAAATTTGCAATTATTTATTAGCTGCACAATAATCAAGTTTCAGAATACATTTTCTTTGAAAAAAATCTAAGGTATCCATTTCCACCCAATTTTCACATGACCAAACGAGCTGATTTAGAGATGAACTCAAGTATCTGTTATATAGCAGATGTAGCACGCTTAGTGAAGTACTTAATGAAGCACGCTTAGTTACGAACCAGTAAAATTTTAGAATAACTTTTCCTATTTAAAAGTTTCATAAAGAGTTTTCAATATTTTTAAATTCTGTTCTCACCAGTTAAACTGAATAAAAGTTTAGAAAACAAATCTCTCAGTTAAATTGTAAAGTGTTTATTTACAAATAAACTTTATTATTTCCTTGAATTTTTGGAAATTTCTTTATGACTTTTTGTTTAGATAACCCTTACAAACTAGTTGTGAGTTGACTAGTGTCCCCCAAATTGATGCGGCCATGTCTTAACACCCCTAGGACCTGTGGCTGTAATCTTATTTGGAAATCGGATCTCTGCAGATGTAATTCAGTTAATATCATAAGATTATCAAGGATTTAGTATGTCCAGTGACCAGTGTCCTCATCAGAGAGAGGAGAGAGATTTGACACTCATAGGGAAAGTGGCCATTGAAGGTGGAGGCAGAGGTAGGGGTGATGAGCCTCGAGTCAAAGAACGGCTGGGACTGATGGCCACCGCCAGGCACGGAAGAGCATGGGTCAGACCCCCCGCCAGAGGCTCCACAAGGAACTGACCATGCTGACACCCCGATTTTAGACTCGAGGCTGAGAACTGGGAGAGAATAGATGTCTGCTGTTTTAAGCTTCCAAGTTCGATAATTCATTATGGCAGCCCTAGGAAACTAATACAGGACCTTTTTAAATACTAAGGACAAACGGCTATACCGGGGGTGCCAAAACACTGCACACATTTTAATGATGTTTTCTATGTATTACTTTTCGAGGTTGAATTGAATTATGGTAGCAATGTGTAGTGGGACGTTTGCTCAAAAGATGGCGTTAATCAAATGAATGCTAGCGTCACCATGGCAGGACCGTCAAAGGAGATGGCGGAAGCACGGTTGTCATTCGAAGAGCGCAAGACCATTTTGAAGTGGTATTTAAAATTCAAGAACGTTCTCCTGACTTAACACCCCTTGACTTCTGCCTATGGGGAACCTTAAAGGATGTGGTGTACCACAGAAAACCGGGTGCACTGGCGGTACTTCGGGAAGAACTTGAAACAGCAGGCACAGCAATACAAGTGGACACTTTGGTCAGTGTTGCCCAAGCAGTAGTTCACGTAATCAGAAGTGTCTGGACGCTGATGGGAACCACTTTGAGCACCTCTTGTAATTGCAGAAGTCAAATGTGACTTGTATCCATCTTTTGTTATCGGTATATATTGAGTATTACAATTTTAATACAGATTTTCCATTTCTTAAAATGTATATACATTTTTTTGGCATCCTCTGGATATCTGTTCCAAATCCATCATAAGAAATGTGTTATTTATTTATGAATGTTATTTCCTGGTAAGTCAAAGAAAATATAGAATGTAACACAATGTCTTTCACATAGTAAGCAATTTGTGCAACTATTAATAAATGAATGAGGACATGAATTAATTAATGATTGTTTAAAATATCATAGTTCACTTAAAAAAAACCAACAAAACACCCATGACAGCCTTTCATACCTGGCGCGGTACTGTTATTAAAATACTATTGATGACACAAGTAAAGAGTTAACAGGAGCGAGCTTAAACATTAACCTCTTGGTCTGAATCCCCTGGCCAGCACTGCACCTGCAGGCTGACAAGCACCTTACATCCTACATGGAAAAATATAAAACCCCAGCACTCCTGCTCATCGGTGCAGCTAATTCTATTGGACTCTGCCCTGGCAAAGCTCCTGCCAGTTCCAAACAGAACTCTCTCTTTCTTTTGGACTTTCAGTAAATCTTTTCTTACTCTTGTAGAGTCTCGTGAATGCTTTCACGTTCTGCAAACGACCAAGGGTTAATTCTACGCCAAGACAACTATTACTGTGTAAGGGTCTCAAAACACTGGCCCGCAGTGCAGCTTGAAACCGTTTCTTATCCTTCTGTGCAACAATATTCAACAGTCCCCACAGGAGCAGGTGGGTTCCCGGCGGCTAAAGACCCCAACACACCCAGCAGCACGTACGTGTCTGTCCTCGGCACCACACGCCACATATCGTCCACAAGGGCTGAAGGCAATTCCACATGGGTAGCAGCGGTTCAAATGACCCTCGAAACGACGCTCACACCTATGAGAAAAAAAGGACACATGAGGAACAGAAAATGATTTTTAATTTTTAACACAAATTCGGATAAAGACACTGACCCATTGCTTTTCTTCACAAAAATAATTAACAGTGAACAAACTCACAGTGAAAGAACATTCTCTATGTGAGGATTATTAAACAGTTAGTAGGTTATTCTAGAGATCTTCAAAAATAATTAAAACACTTTCAAAATCATAAATTCACAGAGATGACCAAACTAACATTAAACAGACTTTTTACATATGGAGACTATCAAATGATAAACATATTCTGGAGATCTTTAAAATGATAGAAACAAACCTTTTGAAATCATAAGTTATTTAAGTCAATGAGTCAAGACTTTTGGGAGGTGCAACGTTCTATCAAAGCTGGTTAAGTGTAACAACCAACCATTCATAAAATGCTATATAAAATTTGTTTACTGTAAAAAATGTCATGGAATTGATGCAAGTTTTATCAAGAAAAATCCCACACCTTTGGGGACAGCCAGCGCCACACTAAGAAGCCTCTGTCAGCATCTACCAGCATGGCTGGGATCCGCGGGCATGACAGCCCTGCCCAAGACGTCCCGGGGGTGGGCCACGTCCCCTCCACACAGCACTCCGGGGGCCACAGGGGTTTGTGATTAAAGGGGCGAGCAGATACTAGTTTTGTTCTTGAGTATATATGCACACACACAAATATTTATTGTATTTGGTTATATAATTATATATTGTGATTGTTTGGCATAACATAATTATCAGAACAGACGTTTTTAGAAGACCAGGAAGATATGTATAACACGCATGCACACATATAGCATATGTAACACATTACATGTGTATCTGATGGCCTCCCTGGGCACCTGGGGCACTCAGGGCACATGCCACACAGAACCGAGGAAAGGCCAGCACCTGTTACTCTGCCGTTTGAAATGTCTGTAACTTTTTCTGTGTATAATCAGGCTTTTCTTAGACTGGTCAGTGCGAATCGATTCACTATACAACCTTGTCATGTTTGGGAAAAGAGATCAAATTGAGTTGACAGATATTTAAAGCCAAATGCTTCGGGAGCTTTAATAGAAACACGTTGATATGGGTTCTGTGGCTTCGCCCCAGCTGACGTCTGCACAACAGGACGGGCCTCACCTCAGGGTTCTCAAGTCCCACAGTCGGATTCCGTCACCGATGGCTCTGGTTGCGAAAAGGTTATAGAGCTGAGATGGTTGGGTTGTGAATGACGATCCCTATAATCGTAAGAGGAAAAGTGCGCATTATACATGGCAAAATACGGTATATGTAAAACACTAAAATATCTTCTATTGTGAAACAGAAACAGAGAGGAGAGGAAACAGGAAAATTCCAAGATGTCAGACAAAATAGCATCTCATCATTTTTCAAAATGAAATAACTTGTCTGAAAATATGAGAAAAACTGGTTTGCTAAGATTGAAAGAACCATCTTTACCATTACTTCAAAGCCAAGGCTTTACTTTTTATATTACAAGTTTAAAAAAAGCATTTAAAACTCCAAAATTATATTTGCATTTCGAACTTAAACAGCTGAAACGATTTAAAACAAATCTGGGAAACAAATTGAAAAAAATGTCAGACTGAGCTCTAGTAAGTTTCAATCTAGACCAAGTTTTTATGGCTCTGTGATAAACCCCAGAAATAAAGAACAAAACCAGAAAAAGCAAGTAGGTATTTATAAGGAAATGCTGACAGACCATTTCCATGTGCAAAAAGTGGTGATGATCACTGGCTATGAAATGACCACCTTTAATAAAAGCCATGCGTCATAAACTCAAAAATTAAATGAACAAAGAAATTGTTTGCTAACAATTCATACCATGTTTTCCCCAAAATAAGACCCAGCCGGAGAAGAAGCCGTAGCGTGAATCCTCCAGGATGTGGGGGGCACGCACTCCTCCCATGAGGGCTTTATGACCTGTTTCAGGGAGAAGGGTGCCTTTTCCACAAACTCCTTCAAATTAAAATATTCAGTATGCCACGGTGCCATATTTTGGCACCTAAAATCATGCAAGGGCTTATTTTCCAGCTAGGCCTTATTTTGGGGGACTAATAAGGGTAATACTTTGGAGACAAGGAGTAGCAAGTATCAAAAGTATGGTAAGAAATATGTTTTAAATGTAACATTTACAACCCAGGAACATCGCACATGAGATTCACATTTATCTTCATGACTGAAATATTTTAACTTAATGACAGCATTTTGGTAAATTTAATTAATTCTCACTGAACTGTACTAAAGACTCAAGCTCTAGAAAAACTGATCAGGTACATGACTACATAACATTTCAAGGGAGATGCTTGAATGTTGAAATCTTGATCTTTAGATAAATTTTATATATCGCACTTTGAGAATGAAACATTATATGCTGTTTGTCATAAAATCTATGTGCTGACCCATCTTTTCAAGGAAGCACCGCCCTTCACATTTACATCTTATGTCCTATATAAATGCTTGGATCCTTTTCTTTCTGTGGGTAACAGTCAGTTGTGCCTCGAATCAACAAACATTCACTGAGCGGGATTCCAGGTGCAGACACCTGTCCCACGCGCCACACAGGAGACCGAGACACCACAGGCCCTAAAGCATCTGAGAGCCAAACACCTTTGCCTGAAAGGGTCACTAGACCAACCTGAACAGTCAGACTTACCCTTTAATACTCTATCAAAATAGCGCCTATCCATAATCTCAGTGAGTTTTACTTGAATTTAAAAGATCATAATAGCTAAAAAATAACATGGGTATCAGGCTGACAATCATTTTAAATATATGACTCAGCTACCAAATTCATTTAAGGGCCCGGAAATACGTGAGGTCGGATGATCAGCTCTTCCCGGCCCGCCCGCTCCCCGCTCCGCCAGGCCGACCCCCCTCAGCCCCCCCACCCCCCAGCCGTTTCCTTCATCGCCTCCCAGAGCAGGACGTCACCACACATGCGCTCCATTTTGGGCGTTTGCTATTTTGGCAGCCTCGGAAAGAAGTTGCAAAAGGCTTCAAAGGGATTCCTTAGTTATCTGGGGGACCCACTGCACAGTGTTTAAAGTACTTCTGTGCTGTTTTTATGCAAGAAGATTCTGCACAGATAAAGCAAGACACACAAAGTAACCTCTTCATCCACTCTCTCCAAGCTGATTTTTCCACAGCACTACGTAAACCAGGAGAACTCGCCCCATCATGACCCGAAACGTCCTCGTTAATTAACCTCCGAGGGTGTAACGTTGGGAAAAACGTCCAGGCAGATGCCTGTCTGTGCCTGCAAAGGCCCCCAAGACTGAGGACGTCCCACGGCGGTGACGGCGCTGCGCCCCGCGTGCTCCTGCTCCCCAGGCCCCGACTCTGCCCTGGGCTGACCCGCCCCCACGCACGTGGGCCACGTGCTCGGCCTGCAGACTGACTGACAGCTCGGTCACCTGGGCACGCCAGGCCCCGCCCAGTCAGCCTCTGGCCCCTCCCACTGGAGCCCGGAAGCCTGACCAGACCCCCTCCCCCCGTCCACCTGTCCAGGCAGCTGTGCTGGGGCGGCGTGTCGGCAGTGCAGCTGCGTGGAGCAAAGCGTTGGCCTTCGCTCCCGCTCCCCGCGGGGGCCAGTTCCACACACCGTCAGCCCAGACCCGCCCTGGCAGGCAGGACAGGGAGGAATGATGTGCTGACACCGTGGGCGGCAGAGCCTTTGAACCAAATCGTAAGACTTCCCTTAAACAGCACACAGGTTTCAGGAGGTGGGTATTATACGGTAAATCCTGAACTGGGAAATCCATTCCAAATACATCAAAAAACAAAACTGTGGCTGAAGTTCCAACAACAGAGTCTCCTGAATGCTCTTTTGAGTGACAAAGCGTCTTCGGAACGAAACTGTGACAATGACTTCATCACGGTGGCCATCCCCCATAACCGGAGGCCTTAACCTCAGCTGTGGGTCATTCAGAACCATTTCTCCATCAGAATGGATGAGCTGCATCCGGAGAGGACGGCTGCTTCACGTCCTCAGAGGCCCAACGAGCGCGTGACAGTCCAAACCCGCAAAACCACGTGGGGCTTTAATGAGGAGGCTTCACTAGAAAGTCCAAGAATGGGCCCATGAAATGATCAGACAAAAGTACAAAAATTAACATTCATGTGTGCTGTTAAAATATCTTCTAATGTCAAACATCAGGCTCAGAACTTCGTGAGCAACAGCAATTAACACAGAATTCAGCAGCAAGCATAAAATCGCGTCACACGTATTTACGTGCCAAACACCTAAACACAAAACTACAAATGACGTGGAGCATCACTCACTTACTTTATTTTGACAAATTTGGTGGACAGGCCGTGAATGGGCTCCCACGATCACAGCCGCACTGCACCCCACGTTGAGGTCAAAAACTTCCAAAGTCCGGTTCCGGCCGGCAGTCAGCACGAGGTCTGCGTGGTTCTGTTAGGGAAGGCGTGTCCGGACCCACCAGGGAAATGAGCATGCCATGTGTCCCATTAGTAAAGGCTGGAACACGAGGCGACCACGAACGGGAAATCCTGGGCACAGCCCGTGCCCACACTGGCCCCGCGTCTGGAAGAGCCGGTGGCAGGTGAAGGGGCCACCAAGGACACAGGGAGACCCCTGGCAGGGCAGACTTCAGGGGGGGGAGACCAAGAGCTCTAATTCTAGGTGAGTGAGGTGTGAGATGCCGGGGGAGCAGCCCAGTCAGGAGACAGGTCTGAGACGAAGGTGGGACAGTGGAGCCAAGAAAGTGGCCGGTGTCCCTGGGAGCAGGCTGCGGGAGTGGGGGACACAACACACGAGGACACGTTATCAGGCAAGGGACACGAACTCCATGAATTTGGTATATGAGGGCAACTTAAGACCTTAGCTCATGTGACCACAGAACCACCCAACTGCCAATGTTTACCCAGAACACTAAAAAGTATGCACAGTAGAAAAACACTCTAAAATGTCTACTAAAAACCTAAAAGGATGCCAGGTAGAAAAGTACACACAGGAGAAAGGGCACTGGGTTCAGCAGTAAACCAACACCAGTGCCCACGCCAAAACACTAGAAATCACCATTCAAGGCAACAGGAATCACGGCGACACTTTCCTGCCAGCTGGCTTTTGTTTGTTTTGCATTGGTTTTAGCAAAAAGTCCTAAAAATAAAATAACACATTTCTACCTAAAATATACTAGAACCTTCTAACACCTTAGGTCAGTCCTTCTGAAACTTCAGCTTAGCCTTCTGAACAAACTAAAATTTTATACAACGAATTCCTGAAAATTATGATTTTGCTTCTAAATAAATTTAAACCAATATTTTTTTTAATTAAAAAGGATGATGTTAGCCACAAAAACTCAAAAATTAAAGTTTTGGACTCAATTTCCTATTCTATAGAAAGGCGCTCACGCAGAGCTCTGCCTGCCGCCATGTGAGAGGTCCGCTCTCAGGCCCACGGAGAGGGCCGCGGCTGTTGAAATGTGCTCAGTGACGACTGGGTGTCACTTGGTGAGCCACAGGTGGCAGGTGCATCACCGGATGTGGCAGTGGTGCCCCCACTGTACCCACATTCCTCCTGTCCATTAGGCACTGCCCACTATTGGGATGAAATTAACACACAGCCCGAGTTAGCCCGACAGGGCACCCAGGGCCCAGCTCCGCGCCGAGGTGGGCGCTGTCACAGAAGGCGGATGGCCAGAGCAGGACAAAGGATACAGGAATAAAAGTCGTTCGTCGCGGACAGGCTGGTGACCTCAGCCGCACCCGTCATGGGAAGCTTGACAACAGCCCTGCATCTGCCCCTCGGCTTGTATCTGGAAGAAAAGACGGAGAGCCAGCAGTGGGTCTTCTCCCACGACAGGCAAGCATTCTTCCCAGAAAAAAACTGAAAACGAAAACCAGTTTTCACATCACCAATAATCACATTTTATAACACTGAGGGAGTATGTGCGTCAGCTACTTTAATTTTCCCTCACAGAAAATTCACTAAAAATATCGTTATACTCAGCCAAAAATAATTCCTTCCTGTCTGTGAGAAAGTAAGCAAACCTTTTTCCTAATTCTAAAACCATTATGCGTCTCACGGAGACATCCAAGCAGTTATAAATTATTTGCATTTCCAAACATAATTTTTAAATATTTCCTAGAGGGCAACTTAAGCAGATAGTGGTGCTGGAATAAACGTTGGTCTTAACCCCCAACAGTAATTTCTGAGTGAACCTGCGAGCACCTCCAGTGACCTTGGCCCAGGAGTGTGGCCGGGTCAGGACCAAGCGGCCACAGGGAGCAGGAGGGCCGGGGCTGGCTGGGGGCGAGGACAGGGCACCACAGGTACAGGCAGGTGAGGGGCACAGCCGTGGGAGACGGGCTCAGGCAGGAGAAAGCAGGCCGCCAGCCCACGCCCTCACAGGCAGGGACGTGCTGGGTGACACGTGTGCAGGCCAGGACTCCGGTCCAGGGGGGCGCGGGGGCAGCTCAGGGCCAGCGCAGAGGTCACACACAGCCCTGGGCCCCGGCCGGAAACTGTCCAGCTCCACAGCACGGGGCGGAGGGAGCAGGAAGCAGCTGTGTCACTCTAAACGCCGTGTGGACCCCTGGGGACAGTGCAGGTGAGGAAAGGCATTTCAGAAAGAACAAGTCTCAAGACAAGGGGACAGGGTGTGTGAGGACACAGGCTGCAAACAGGCTGTGGGTTAAGACAAGTGACAGCGGCGCCGGTGCCGCGGTGAAGACAAGACACTCTGGCAGCTGGGAGGGGCCGGGAGGGGACACCCCGTTCAAGGCGTTCGCGCCTTCAGTCAGTGGCAGCTAAACCCTTGTCAACCCGACACCAGAGCTGGGAGCAGGGCTGAGGTGCCAGGAGCGCCAGCCCTGCTGTGCGCACTCGGGATCAGGCCGCTCAGGCTCAGGCTCCAAGTGACAGGAACACGCAAAAGCTGAGCTGTGTGGGTGACACCGGGCGTTTTCAATAAATGCTGCAAGAGAAGGGCACATGCGGATGGAGGGAGCCAGGCCCAATTCCGGCTGGGGGACAGGCAGCATTGGTGACAGGGACATGGTCTGTGGCCTCACGTTGTCAGAGTCCCAGGATTTGGAGCCTTAGGGTCTGAAACGTTGGTGGCCCCTGAGGCCGCACCGGGGGAGAAGTCCACTGCAGCCTGAGTGAGATTCAGGCCTGGGACGGCCACCCCGCATTCTCCGGGGTGAATGACGGCCCAGCCATGTGGGACAGAGAACTCCGCGTCCCGGGACGCTCCCTCAGCTCTCGCCAGCTCCCTGGTAACGTGTGGTCCCATTAACCATTAAATTTTGGAACACGTCTTTAAATGTAGAGACCGGTTTTACACAGAACCCAGTAATGAAACATGGCTTCCTCCAACCAGAGAGGGGAGGCCCAGGGGAGGAGGCCCTACCGACGCATGTCGTCTTGGCGAGCGTCGATGTGATAGGTGAGCAGCTGGACCGCAGGGCCCGACGACAACAATATGAAGGTGTCGATGTAATAAAACTGTGCGGCTTGAACAGGCTTGGGAAACACGTCCTTGCCCTGTAATGCAAATCATTATTGTTATCATAGAATAATTATTACCAAGGTAAGAAAAGACACTGCCGCTCCAATAGGAATCTTTTCATCTTAACACCAACCATCTATTTATTCTCAACGTGTAAATATTCTTTGTTCAACCAATTTACAATTTTTGTTTCTTCTTCCTGACTGCTTCTAAAAGAGGTCACAGAAAATAAATGCTAACAACCTCTTTGAAAATCCACAATTCACCAGCTTATAATGTGGTTCACTGACGCTGCGAGTCCTGTAATCACCCTCCGTCTCCTGCCATCTCCGCGTCACCTTTCCCGTCCTATTTCCAAACCATCCCCCCGAAGTTCATAGAAAAAGGTTATTTTCTCCCCAAAACATATGCCCTTGGCCATTATTACCTCTACTATAAAATCACATATTAAATCGATATTTAAAATTATTCCAATACTTTAATATTAATAATTTTGCCATTTTAGACCCTAACAAACATAAGACATATTTAACTGCACATACGTATATGTGCATGTGGGTGCATGTTATGTATTATGCATGTGTGCCCATCATGTATGTGTGTATATATACACACACGCACATGTAAGAAAATTTTAATCAATTACTTTTAGTACGTTGGAGCAAACTCCTGGTTTGCCTCATCTCCCAGCCCCCTGGCCTTGACGAAAGTCTGTCTGGGCAGCTGTGGCACCTGACGGTCTTGAGATCATGGGACTGGCCCCTGTGAAACCGACAGGATCGCCCGTTACCAGACACAGCACCGCTTCCGTCCTGCGAGCCGACCACACCCTCAGCGTCCCATCCTGCGAGGCCGACAGCAGCCACCTCCCGTCATGGCTCCAGCACACGGAGTTCACTGCCCCGTCGTGACCTAACGGGAGACAGACGGGGGAGTGACCGGGAAGAGCCGGTCACAGCGACGCCAGTGGAGCCACAGCCCAAGGACGTGACATACTGCATTTAAAGGCTTACTATGGTTTCTGAAAGACATGTTTCCAAAATCCATACTTTTTAAAATATCAAGTTCAAAATTCTGTGTGCATCTGAGAGTATGTTTTAAAAGAAGAACCTTACAAAATGTGAAAAATTATAAAATGTATAGAAATCTGTGGGTCTCATAAGAATGCACTTAGAGAACTGTATTCTTTTAACATTGAAGGAAAAAGTCAGAGGGGTTTGCAGAACATATTCATGTATAATCTGACTATTTGTGGTGAGGGCTGGACAAGTTTATGCTGAAGTGGAAACGGCTGGTCTCAGGCCCCGAGTGTCCGCAGGCACAGCACCCGGGTCACCCTGCACCTGGCCCTCGTGGTAACAAACTCGACCTAACGAGCCCGTGAGAGCTGTTCAAACTCCCAGGAATATCAGTGAAGGAAGAAAAGAAAGGGAGGCTAATCCCCCGCCACTGGGTCAAGGAAATAGAGGCCACTTGCTTCTCACTTCGTAATCACAACGTCCAAAAAGAAGCTCTCAAATGACAACCGCACTCTGTCTTTGGGGCCATCACGACCCAGGGATGTCTTCTGTCACCGCCACCGTCGGCTGCTTTGGTAGACAGCCAAAACATCTTACGATGCAGCCCGTCCCTCTTCGTGTCAGAATGATCAAACTTATAGCTAATGGACCCAGTTACCATTAATGTGTCCCCTCCTCTTATGGAAAACTAAATCGATGCTCGGAAAGGGGGAGGAAAGCGAGCGTGTGCTGGGCACACAGCACAGACCACGCGTCACCCCCACGTGCCCACGCGGTGGGCCCCCGGCCCGTGTGGCCCCGCTCTGCGCCGCCCGGGCTCAGCTGCGTCCTGGGGAAGCGGCAGGGGACTGACCCCAGGTCGCTCCCGGCCGACGGCCCTGCTCCCCGGGTTGGGCGTCCGGGTCTGTCCCGGGACCGCTGAGCCTCTGGGGGAGGCGGTCTGGAAATCGTGCCCCAACCCACGGCGCCGCCATCCGCTGCTGTGACACAGGCTTCCTGGAGCGGTGGCAGTGCCCGTGGGCCTGTCCGAAGCCGTGAGGACGGAAGAGGGCAGAGCTGGATGCCCGCCTGGCGGGGCCCCTGAGGGCGGGGGTGGTGGGCACCGGGCTGCAGGCAGCGGAGAAAACAGCGACCATCTGTGCCCTGCAAAGTGCCACCTCCCTGGGAGGCCGTGCACCTGCGCGGGGGAGCGGGGGGGGGGGGGACACGGGGACACTGACCCGCAGCTTCTCGTGCCACGTCCTGACAGTGAGCAGGGCCCGGGGGCGCCCACACTTGGCCCCGGTGTCTGAGCCTGGGCCTCGGACCCGGCAGAGGGAGCACAGCTGCGGGCCAGGGCCTCGTGGCCGGCGGTCCCTCCACGTTGCTGTCGGCGTGTGGATCGCACACGATAATGGACAGGTTCCAGTGGCTCGCAGCGTCACCAGGTCTTTCTGGTCAGAAAGCCAACAGGAAACAAGGAAAACCAGGAGCGACCAGTAAGTGAGCATCGTCGCAGCTCCGCAGCATGGGACCCGAGGAAACACAGAGCCGGTCCAGCCACCAGCGTCTAAATGTCCCAAATGGCTCTGCTGCCCTCTGGTGCACACTTCTGGGAGTTTCCACAGAAGCCAGGCTGAGCCGGTCATGGCTGGGCGCTGTCACCAATAACGGCATCCGTGACCTTCTACTGAGGATCAGCGTGTGTGAGACTCTCGAGCCAATGCCGCCGTGTCCCGGTACGTGCCACCGTACCTGCCACTGGGCGCCCTTTCCTAGACATCAGCGAGGGCACCGCGACCCCTCGCCCACACGCTGCAGAGAGGGACGCGCAGGGGACATTGCCACTGTGTAACTGGGCTCAGCTCTTCCCAGTTAGCGGTAACCTGCTCGGCCTTCTGTCCCCCCACAAGGACTAGTGATGAACTTCAGGAACAGCGAATGGGACACGGAACCCAGAGCCAGGCTCCCACTAGAGGGGCGCACGCAAACGGCCTCCAGAACGGAGTTCTGGAGAGGGGATGCCTTGGCAGAGCGCAAACAGACGGAGGACCTAAGATCAGCAAGCGAGAGGCTCTGCGCTGCGTTTCATCCTTTTATAAGAATTAGTTTTATACAATTCCATAATCTTCAACAAAGTCGTAATTAACTTCAGTCTTCCGGAGCGACTGACACCAGCACTGAGCTGTCATACCCCCTGCCCTGGTGTGGGCGCCCCACAGCCCGGCACTAGACAACAGTGCTGGATGGAACACACTCTCCCTTCCGCGCGTGGACATAAATTGCCTATACACGTGAAATGCAGCCGTGCTCAGTGGTTTTCAAACTGTGAGGTCCGAGCTGGCAGTGCCCTCAGAGTCCCTGAGCTCTCCAGGAGAGAACTTCAATTTAGCAGCCAACTTTCACCACCGTTAAAATATCCAGAACATACTTAGTTGTCTTCGATTATGATAGAAATAGAAACACCCATTTTTCTGCTTTCTGGGTAAGTGGTGAGAAATCAATCATATTTCAACATTGAATTACACGACTGATGTGCTAGAATAGGTAGGGTGGGTAACAATGGGTCTTTTCCCCAAAACAGAAACGGAGCACTTTTTTTAAAGACAAGTTTGAATATCCGCTGCCTTTTCTTAATCCAATAGTAAAACACATCAGGACCACCAACAACATAACCACCATTTATGTCAACCGCAGAGCCCCACAGGGAGGCCCCACGCGAGCTCCTGACCACAGGCGCCTGCGGGGCACACGGAACAAAGGCTCAGGGCCTGGAGGAGCCACAGAAGGCCCTGGAGCCCCGCGGGCTGGAGGGGAGGGTGGCAGGGGCGCCTGGACCCATGGCCCGCCCGCCCTGCACCAGTTCCCCAGCTCTCTAGTTCACAAAGTCAGAGAATCGTGCAAGATGGGGGCGTTCTCTGTGGGGCTTTGTTGCTGTTGTTAGAGTATTTACTAATGTCAGTTTGAGCCAGCGGCATCAGGACAGGCAGGACGGCAAAGCTTTGGGACAGGAGCCTGGATGGCCGCGTTCTCAAATTGAAACGGCCACGCTTTTACTACAGTTGCTCTCTTCTTGCTTAAAAAAATGATTTGCCTTGTCACATGATACAAATGTCTAGGTGCCGATCCTACCACCTTTCCTGATGTATTTCGATCGTGTGTCTGTGTGTAAACTCTGCTGCGCCTCTCCCTGGGCTCTGCAAATGCTTCGGGCCTGACCTGGAGCTCCGCCCTGCGTGCCCCCACCTCTAGGGTCACCAGTGACAGGAGTCTGGCTGAGCAGGAGCTCAGGGGAGTCTAGTCTGTTAAATCTCATTATTTCACCCCCAGCTCAAGCCTGCTTCTGTTCTGGGCTTGTCTGGAAGGAAACAAAAGTGGCTCTTAGCAATTAATAACCAGGACCAACATGGGACCCACCTGTGAATTCACATTAACTAAAATTTAGGCATATTTTACCTGTAAAAACAGCAGGTGTCCCAGTAAGATCGGCATCAAAGGCCAGTGCCAAGTGGTTGGCTGAGCCACAGGCCAGCCGCTTTCCATCTCCTGCTTGAGAAAAATGAGTGATGTCCCTTAGAAAACCGCGCCTCACAGGAGACACGTTTGCAACAGGCGGAATGGAGAATCATTAGTTAACCCGAAGCTGGGTTTCTGTTCGTGAGAAAACCTGAAGCAAGCAGGTGACAGCACTGGCTCACCTGCCAGCACCTGGGCTGAGGGCCACACGTGGCCTTGTTCACAGACGGGCAGACGAGCAGCTGAGGCCTCGCTGAGGCCCAGGGCGCCGCTCCAAGCCCCGAGGTGCCCCGCCTCCCACCCACAGAGCTTTAAGCGGCATATTTGATGAGGGAGAAACGAATCATAGACTCCCTCCACAGTATTCACACAGGAGGGGCCACTTTTATAGTCACCTGCTGAGTGACGGGCACACCAAATGTCACAAAGGTATTTAACTTCCTGATAATGCTACATAGCTAACTGCCCAAAATTATTTTTAAATTTCTTTGGCTAGAATTCTATGAAAGACAAAGGGAATTTAGCACGTTTGTAAAGAATGACGACCTTCAGGAATGCACCTAAAATACTTCAGGCTATGGCTGGTCACACACTCATGGAGGTCAGTGGCCCGGGCACCACACAGCAGAGGACAGGGGACCTCGGAACCAGTGTTTACTCCAGAAAGAGCTCAGATCACAGAGCTGCCTCCTAATGTCGCCAAACTTTAGAAAAATGCCGAGGGCCCAGGGAAGACTCCTGGTAACGGTGTTTCAATGCCCTGAGAACGGAGGGCTGGCCCGCGGAGAAGCTTCCATCCGAGGGACGATGGCACTCGGTGACACAGGCATCATCCGCCCAGGCACTTTCCTTCCGCCCATCGAGGGGCCAGGTGGCCACTCTCCAGGGGCAGTTGGTAACCATTTTGTTAGCTTCTCCTCCCTGCCAGGCCCTTGACTGCAGGGAACGAGGGGATGTGGGACGCGGGGACGGATGCGGGGACGCGGGCCAGGACGAGCTCAGGGTTCCAGCCGGTGCTGCTGCGCGGTGAGCGCTCTGCACCAGCTCCGCTCACACTCAGAAAAGCGAGTCTAAGCAACGTGGCCGAGCGCTGCCTGGAACCGCAGGGAACATCGAGCTCCAGAAACGCCTCGCAACGCACCTGAGAACTGGACGCAGCGCACGGCCGCCCGGCCCTCGGCCACAGCAAGCCGCCGGCTGAGTCTGGTCGGCAGAGGATTCTGCGCGGGGCTGTCCTTCCTTGAGGGGAGATCAGAGAAAACCACCACCCAGAGAGAGAGCAAAGTGAGGTTAGAAATAAAACGACTGGAAATAAGGTGGGTTAATTTACATGTACGAGTCATAATCTTATTCCATCAGGAATGTACGTATATAAACTCTTACATTCAAAACCATGTATGTATATAAACTCTTACATTCAAAACCATGAAATAACTCTTAGAAACACACTTACATTCCATAATACCAAAAAAATGCATGTGTTTTAAGTACAAAATATCAAGAACTTATGTTTGCTATAAACTGACATGCATACTGTGATGATTTGGGTGAAGGTTCTCAGAGAAAAGGTGTTTCACCTTCCATTGTACACTTTTTGGGGGTGGCCATCATAATGGTAATTAAATAATCAACAAATGGCTTCCATTTACCATGAAAATAATCACATTCACAGGTTTTAAAAGAAACCAAGGAAGGTTTGGGGGGAGGGGCTGGTGCTGAAACCCAGAGCGGTGGCAGGACGGCCGGAGAGGGACCAACGGGACCTGGGAGGGCACAGGCAGCGTGGCCGTCCGCAGGGCGCTGGGGCTCAGGCACCATCTCCCCACTTTACGGCGCCGAGGTGGTGCAAGGCCACCCCTGGGGACCAGCCAGGGCAGGGAGGCCTCACAGTCCTTCCCTCCTCGGGGGCCCAGAAGCCACCGTGTAGACTCAGCACAAAGCTTCATGTCACACAGCAGCGTTGTTACAGGGTCTGAGAAACAAGGCAGCAGGAGGCAAAGGGAGAGGAGCTATGACCTGGAATCTCACACGCTCACTCACACGCCCACTCACACGCCCACTCACACGCCCGCTCACACGCTCACACACTCATGCTCACACACTGGTGGACCGGCCTTGAACGCCCACCCGCAGCAGCCCAGCGCCATCCTTTCAGTGTCACGTGTGACGGGTGTTCAGATGCCTGGACCCAGGACAGGTGTCGGGTCCTCCACTTCACTGCCACCTGCGCCTGAACAGAGCAGCCCGAGAGCCTCCAGCTCACCAAAGACGCCCTGCTCGGTCCGGAGAGCCAGGCTCCTTGGACAAAAGCCCACCAAAAAAAGCAGAGCTCAGCTAGCTGCGGGCTGCCCTTCGCGGGACCACAGACGTTCTCATGGGGTGGAGCGCACCCGCTCCAGGCGCACACTGACTGCCGACCCTGGATGGCGGTCGGCGGATAGCGGCAGGAAGAGCGACAGCGTCGCCTGACACGGTGGAACCAGGGTTTGGTGCGCATTCCTGTGCGTGGAATGGCCGTTCAGGCGTCGATGTGATAGACACAGAATGAATAACATTTTAAATGCCGTAGCCCCAAACCCATTTAGATGATGTAATCCCACAGTCAGGACTGGGGGGGCCTGCAGGTCCCCCACACGCCCCCTTGTCTAGATAAGTGGGTCGGGGATCTGCAGGGCTCGTGCACAGTCACTCGGACAGGTGTGGGGCCAGCCCAGGGCCGAAGGGCCACAGGACCGAAGGGAGCGTTTCCCAGTCAGCGAGCGCATGACTAGCCTCTCCAAAGAGTGCTGAGTGTCACGCTCGACTTTCTCCACCGGATTCATACCTAGGGAGCTTATCTATAATAGAATAACCGTCAGCTACAATACCTTCCAAAACTAAATTTTAACAAAAATATTGCAAAGTCATTAGGTGGTAAGAACAGCAGCATGTGTGAAATGCGACAGATTCGAAAGCATTAAATCTGACGACAGGACACAGACGGGCGCCTGTCCTGACTGTGCACATACGCGCATGGACGTCAACAGACACAGATGAGGCCTCATGCCGCTCTGAAGAGAGTCAATTACGTATGAACGGGCTTTCTCCAAATCCACCCAATTGACTTTGGGGGCACCCACTAGTGTACCTACCATTTGTACCTGTTCTTGCGTTCTGAGGCTCTTTTACAATCGTTCTTGATGTTGGTCTTTGGTGAAAACATAGTTGCACTGTGGAAAGAAAGCCCATGTCACTCAGGGCGTCGAGTCCTCCGGGGCCCTCAGAGAACTGTGCACCTGAAACGGAGACAACTTGGGGGGTGCTGAGCACCGACTATGCTTACAAAGGAAAAGAACTCACACTCGTATTTAATACATGAATGCTTTCAGCGTCCCAAGTTAGTATAAACTGAAGAATTACTTTAATTGTGAGTTGAACAGTTGTTCTTCCATGTATGTAGCTATACTGGCTATTTCAATAGTGGATTTGGGTATAAAAATTCTGGAGAGTACTGTGCTATTTACTTACAAATTGTGGCTTACTAGAAAAAAACTAAGAATCATTTTTGCAAAGGTCACATAGTAAATTATCTATTGATCAAATTTTGAGATTTGTGTGAAAAATTTGTAAATCAATAAACTGCTTACAAAGTCAGAATGTCCCTTAAACTGAATACAAAATATGACTTTTAGGACATTGTTTCTTTCTTGGGGAATAAGTTTATATAATCGTAATAGAAGTCAGTTCTACTTATAGATGTTTTTTCACAAGTCTGTACAGAAACAGAGGTGAAGTGTGACGGGCGGTCACTGAACTGCCCCTTTAATAAAACGTGAACACTGAATATCGACGGCAGTTCAACGCCCACCTTGCGCGGCCCGCTTCTCATATGAACAAGCCTGGCCAGGGAGAGCCGGCCGCCCTGTCACAGGCAGAAGCCACCGTGCCCTGGGCACGTGGTGCTGAGCATGGGACAGCCCCGTCCCGCCCCGCCCCGCCTCCAGGCACACAGAGCAGCAGAGCGTGGCTTCGGCAGCGCCCAGGGTGCTCGGACACACCGGGCCCCGGCCACCGTCTGGGTCTGCGTCCGCTGCAGGATCTGAAAGCCCCCAAGGAGCTGATGTGGCGGGACCCAGATGAGCACGGACGCCAGCCCAGCCAGGATCAGGGGAACGCATCCCCCATAGCGGACCATGGGGAAGGCCGCCAAGCGGGGACCCACCCGGGGCATCTGAGTAGGAGCCAGAAATGCCACAGGCACAGCAGGGCCACCTCACCTCCTGTCCGTCCGTCTCCTATGCCTCAGAGAGGCCACCATGCAGCATGTCCTGACCCCGTGACCCCACTTAAGGTCCTGTGACATCACCATGTACTTCAACTCCCAGGTGGCCCTCAGGGCCGTCCATGACCTGGCCCCTCCTGCCCGTGGGCTCCCACACAGGGCCCCACCCGTGACACGCCTTCATACAGTGGACCCTGGGAGCCCCCACCTAACACAGTGACGGCCGCACCTCCCGGCATCAGGGCAGGCTGTGCTCCAGGAGGGCAGCGCGGCCAGGCCGCCACTGCCATGTCCTGGCTCCCGTCCCCTCACGAGGTCATCGGTCATTCTCCCCGGACCAGTCACGGAGCAAAGGGCTGATGTGAGGCCGGCCCCCAGGACGCACTCAGTAAATGCTCACTGCTGCAGCGGCTCCACCTCTGTGACCGTGACCCTCTGGGTGACCGTGGCATGTCTCCCGCCCCACGGGGTCGCCCACACGAGCGGCGTGAGCCCGGGTACTCACTGCGGTGCGGACGCGTACCCAGATGACCTGACCTTGCTGTGGAAAACCAGGGCCTGGTCCTTGACGGCGCTCCGTGCAGCTGTGTGAAAGCAGCAGAAACTTCACATCACCATTTTTTCACGGACATGACAGGTTCACACCAATGCAATGTGCTTACAACCCACAGATTTAAGAGGTTTCATGCCTGATGCCAAACCAACCAATACCAGCAAAGAAGGTTAAATCTAGGCCACAAAGGCCTAAGAAAACCACAACAAATGTGGTCCTCGTTGCGTAAATGCTGCAGGACTGCAGTATGTTCAAAGCTGTGGGTTTCGCACACTGGTGGACGGGGACCTCGGCTCGCCCCCACAGGGCTGGCGGAGGGGCGGCATCCGGGAGAGACTGCCCGGGATGCACAGACACGGCCCATGTGACATTCTGTCCACGGGACACGAAACCCAGCCAGCAGGGACGGTTCTCGATGCCAATCAGCGGCAAAAAAACTTCTCCACTAACAAGAACAGTCATTATTTGCAGCCAATTCAAATTTCTCCCTGATGCTTTTATCACATGATGGAATCATAAGTAAGACAAGCCATAATTACATCAGCGCATTTTAATGGCCATGAAACTTCTTACACTATTTTTAACACATTATAAGTTTTACACTGCTGACGCAGACAGTGATGGCCGGGGATTCACACAGCAACACACTGTCCCTCACCACGCCGTCACTAAGAGCTTGTATTTCAGGGTTTGTCACACTGACCAGACTGTTTGCGACAAGCCGGCTCAGCACTGCTTCCCTTAACAGTTCCAAAATGCAGCGGAGAGGTTGGTAACACACAGGAGCTAAAACACAAGCAGGAAATTGTAGCACGGGAGCAAACTCACAGGACGGGGTGCTTTCGACAAAGCATACATCCTAAGGACGACAGTTCATGCCAATATGCACGTGAGGACAACCACCAAGCTCATTCTTATCCTCCCAAAGAACAAGTTGGTATTTTTAACGAAAGTGCTGCTTCTTAACTTACATTCCATCCTGAAATAAAGTGGTGCCTCACAGTGAAATCAATGGTGAGCTGCGATGCAACGGCACGGGCAGTGATTCCCATCAAGTGAGGGCCATGGAGCTGGGAGATGACTCTAATTTTCCAAAATCAAAAGGAATTCTACCAGCTGACCAACGGGCACATGGCCCCAGTGGGAGGCTCACCTGGGCAGCACTGAGAGCCGCGTCCCCAGGGCGGGGTGCCGCTGACGCCTCAGCAGAGCGGCGAGGTTGACCTCCAGCCCGGCAATCCTGTTCCCGAACATGGAGGTGAGGACGCAGAAGGCCTGCAGGACGGGGTGAGGGGCTGACCACGCAGCTGGGCACAGTGGTGACCCTTCCCTAAGCGCACTTGCAGTGCCCTTTGACCCCGCCCCTGCGACAGCCGCACAGCACTGCGGCTCCAGGGGACAAAAGCCCCGAGTACAGGCGCTCACGACGAACCTTCTCGTCACTGGTTTTGCTCATCACGGCACAGGATCCAGCGACCTGAATGCTCAGGTTCCTGAAATCTTAACACGCAACAAAGAGAATAAGCAGCCACGTTTAGGGGCAGGAAGACGACTAAATCCTCGTGGGCACTTTTATTCACCACGGCTCACAGGCTCGGCCGTCGCTGGTGACGCCCACCATGGACACAGACATGTGACCGAGAGCCCAGATCCCAATCTAAGCGACATTTCGGCTCACTCTTACAGGACAAGCAGGGACAGCCGGCTGAGGCAGGAGGAGAGACAAGCGGGGCTCAGGCAGACGTCTGGGGGGTACTCAGGGAAGGCACGCTAAGAACCTGCCTCAGGCCTCTCTCTAGAGAGCTTGAAGGAGAAGTGTGAACCGCACTTAAAAGCGAGGCTGGCGGCTGTGCCCGGGAGGGGAGAACATGGGGCAGGGGCAGAAGGGGGACCTGCCCGGAGAGGGGCGCTGAAGCCACATGAGGGGGCTGACGGAGCCGGGAGGGGAGGCCTGTGACAGCACCTGACGATGGGGTCGGGGCTGGACAGGAGGGCACGTTGGTCAGCTCAGCGCACATGGGGTGCGTCTGACATGCTGCGAGGCTGTCCAGGCGTGGTGCCCAGCCTTTGGGGACACTGACAGCTGGCTGAGGGGCCCTTGTCAGGGACCCCAGGACAGACTGGCACACGGGGGGTGCCGGCGCGTCCAGGGAGCCCTGACACCGGGAGATCGGCCAGGCGGGTGGTGGGATGGGCAGCAGCTCCTGATGAGCTGGACGGCCACCGACAGCTCGGGGCAGACCCTCACGGAGGTGACCAGGACCCCAGGCCAGGCAGGCTGTCACCGGCAATGAACGACCTTGTTCTCAGATTTCAGTGACCGCTTTCTGTCGCTCCCCCATGGCAGTTACAGAAAAATGCTGAAGCTACACGAACTCTGTATCAAAGGCTACTTGAACTTGGCCCTTACCTTTGTAATGTAAGACAGCTTCCAATTCAAAGTTTGCCAAGTTAAATATGAATAAACCGGCAGAGCTTCCGATCCACAAGCAGCTGGTTTTCCCAGAAGAAACGCTGTTTCAGAATGAAAAGGGAAAACTGTCGTGGTCATTGTGATCATCATTCCCACAGGATGTCACCGAGCGTCATGTAGGCTCGCGAGCGAGGGTGGCGCGTCACATACCCGCAGGTATCGCCCAGGGCTCTCAGGGGGCTGCTCCCTGTCACCCAGAATCGGCCTTAGTGACAACCAGGCTGGCATTCTGTTGTTTGTGCTTCCCCAGCACCCACTCTAGTGAGGACAAAAGGCCACAGCCTGGTCCCAATCAACTCTGATCTGCGACGGTTTCGTTTCTTCTGAGGTCACAGAAGAGGCTGGAGCCACGTCCTCCGCAAACACGGCACAGGTGGGCGTCCCTGTGAGCCGGGCTTGGGGCCATCGCGGCCGTGGCACCGAAAGGTCCTACCAGGCAGCATCTGCCGTGGGCAGCACCCCAACCAGCAGCACCCACAGGAAGGCGCACACAGGCCCGCTGTCTGCTGTCCTTTTTGTTTTCCAATTTGCAAACTAGGTAAGTCTCACGACTGAGAATAAGCGCTGCTCTGGTTATGCCAGATGGGACTCAGGGCAGCTGTGCCAATGCGCCCATGTCCCCGAGCCACAGGACACCCATCCCCACGGCAGCCCCGTCCCTGGGCCTCCAGCAGCCCCGCTCACCTCTCTCGGCACAGCACAGGCCGGCCAGGCGCAGCGTCCTAAGCAGGAACCAAGTCCTGCGGGGCCTGTGTGCGCCCCCCCGTCCCCGCCACTGCCCTAGGAGATGCAGAGGACCCACGCTTCACACCCTCCACGGACTCAGGTTCCAGCCACGCGACTGTCCCCATCCCGGCATCTGCCCGTGTGGACCAGGCACAGACTCGGCCACACGGGACACCCAGCCATCGCGCAGCGCTCCTCAGCGTCCCCTCCCCAACACCCACCAGAGTGTTCAGTCATCTCTGGAACCGCCCACACTCTGTGTGGGACAGATGTGAACACAATCATAACACATCCTTTTAATCACAGGTAAACCGCGGCTTCCTTACATTGCTAAGTACTTGTAACATTTCTATCAAACACAGACAAACCAAGTTGGCGGCGGTCGGCAGCAAATATACGACACACAGCGGCGACGGGGGAGGTTTGGACTGACTGACGTTCCCCTTTGCCGCATTCCAGAAGTCAAGCTCTGCCTAGACTTTGGCGAGCAAAACGAAAATAATCTCATTTCTTTGACTAAATTTGTCATAGAACTGACCAAGTTTACCAACATTAATACTTAAAATATGCAATCCTAAGAACACCCAGTTATTATTACTCAGACTAAAATAAGCTGGTTTTATTTTCATCATTCTAAAACAATGATCCTAATTTAAGGTTTCCTCACATGGTATCAGCCAAGGTCATCGTACTCACAGGCCACACTCAGAGCTGAGGCCAAGTGCAAGGTCACAGCGTGCCAGGCCCAGGACAGGGAGTGTCGCTTCAGCCTCGTCCCCTTTTCCCAGCTCATTTGCAGACGAAAGCTGACTCTCTGCTAGGAACACAATTATTGATAACCTGAGATGCGAAGTTAGAAATGATCAATGAAGTGAAAGGCGGCCAGGTGACACCTTGCTGCGGGGAACTCAGGTCGTGAGTCAAGGACACGGGGCTCATGCATCATAAAGTATGCGCCAGAAATGAGAGCAGACGCGTCGTGAGGCTGGCAGGCAAGGAGGCAGGGTTTCAGGTGGAGCCACAAAAGGGTAGAGGCGGTGGTCAGGTCAGCTGAACTCAGCATTTCTCAGGTGGGTTTGGGGATACTTCATAATAAATGGGGGGTTCATTCAAGAACAATGAAAGCCACGACTTAGAGCATTAGGGGAAGTGGATATATTGTAGAAGGTAATTTCTGACCTATGTTAAAAAGAAATGGCTTAAAGCCTTCCACAAAAACAGAGAAAGAAAAAAAGTAAACTAAAAGAATAACAACGATCATAAACTTGAGGAACAGCAGAGCAGACACATTTGCGGAGACAGGAGAATAATGGGCTGAGAGCGTCATTAGCTGGATTACAGGTAAACGGCCAATTTCCCAGCAGTGCCGGCTCCGCTTGTGACAGCACAGCACATCTTAGAGCACGCGCTGAGTGAGCAGGCACAGTAGGGACAGCGTACACAGCAGGGACAAGTCACAAGCAAGGATGGGCGGGTTGGTCAAGATGGGCCCGTGACAGGCAGGGAGGGCAGTCCGCTGGGCGGGGACGATCCGTGGAAGGTGCGGGCCCTGGACCTGCCCCACGATGACGCCCACCAGCAGCCCCACCCCCACCCCCACCCTCACAGGTCCTGCCTGGTGCCCGCCCTGGGCTTCCGGGTACACACACATCTCCTTCCTGCGGTCGGTCCCCCCAGGTCACATGGTCAGGGAGCGCTGTGGGCCGAGCAGGTGGGAGCGTCTGCGTGGCCTCACCTGGCAGGCTGCCGGGGTTGGGCTCGAGCCTCCTGGTGGAGAAACTCTCTCTCTTTTTCCTGAGGTCAACACGGGTCACACAACGATAATGATGTCCGTCAACCAAACTGAAGATGCAGAGCTGGAAAGCAAACGTGTACAGACGTGTGACTCTCACCCAACGGCCCAGATGACAAGGCGGTAAAAGCACATGAGGAAAGTGAGCTGGGATCAGACGCAGCAGGAGGGTAGCCATGCGCGGCCCTCAGACCCCCTGGGCCTTCTCTGGTCTGACACGCGTTCTCAGGACCCCCTTCTCTCACACCCCAAAACCTCAGAGCGCTCCCTCTGTCGGCACTGGGTTCCAAGCACCGACTTCGGGTGCAGACGGCCACGTTGTGTGGTCCCACAGCACACTCCACCTGGGGGGACTGCGCTCCTGCCTGCCTGCGCCCAGGGATACACCTCACGTCGCTGGGCGAAGAGGCACTAGCGGTCAGCATTGTCAAAAGAAAAAAATTACCTTAGTTTACCAAAACGTATCTGTGATATTGTGCTTTGTAATAAGAGATACGTATTTGGTTCCTGGCACAGAGCTCCTAAAACCCTTGGGATGTCCTGCGACAGGCGTCTTCTGTTATGTTAATGAGGTGGCTTCTGGAAAGCCCTTCGGTCCCCTATGGATGGGGACCAGAGCCTACTTTGGACGTTGATGGTGGATAATGCCTAGTGAAGGAGATTCCGTAAAACCCCAGAGCGTGGGGTCCAGAGGGCTTCCAGGCTGGCAGACGCAGCCACATGCTGGGAGGGTGACACCCCACCTCCACGAATGGAGGCGCCTGCTCTCAGGACCCCCGACCTCACCCTGTGCATGTCTGCACCTGGCCATAAGGCTGCACGCTTGAGCACACTGTTTATGATGTGATACACTGCTAACATAGGTGTCTCTCTGAGTCCTGGGAGCCGCTCTGGCAAAGTCATCGAGCCCGAGGAGGGTTGTGGGGACTCCAACCTGCAGCCACGTTGGGCAGAGCTGTGAGCAACCTGGGGACCCACGACATGGGATGGGCATCTGAAGCGGGGGTGGTCTCATGGGACTGAGCCCCAACCTGCGGCATCTGACGCTCTCTCCGGGTAGATGGTGTCAGAACTGAGTTCAGTTGTGGGACGAGCAGCTGGTGTCACAGAGAATTACTTCCTGTGGGAACGCCCCTCACAGCTGGTGCACGGAGTGGCAGAGGGACTGAGGAGATTCACAGCGGGGGGGGGGGGGGGGGGGCTAGCTGTTCTGATGCAATGTCTACCCAACAGCAACTTTTAGAAAAAACCAGCATCCGTATGTTGTGAGTAAACCTAAACTGCTCACCTACAAATCTAACTTTTGAACAAGATCAAATATCATCAAAATTTTCAAAACAGAACAAGCTGCCACCGGCCTTCGTGAGTGGCTGCCGGCTGGAGCTTTCAGGACAAACAGGTGAGCGGCTGCCGGGCAGCGAGGCTGGTGGGGAGGAAAGCCCGGATGTGCGGCCAGGGAGGCCTCAGCAGCGGGGTCACTGGGTTCGTCACGTCACAGAGAACGCAGAGTGACACTGAGAGAGACTTGTGCAGAGGCTCCCCCAGGAAACGACGTGGGACTCGAGGGCCCGCACCTGTCCCTCTGCGCAGCCAGTGACCAGCTGCTCGCTTCCCTCGTTGATGGCGAGACTGAGCAGAGGGGACGCTGTTGGATGAAACAGACCAAAGTTACCTTTACAAGCATCTGGTAGAGTTTAGACTGAGCGCTATCAGTTTTACTTATAATATTTCTTTCAGTCAAAATAATCTGTCCACAGGAAGTGGAACCAGCGAGTGCCACTGTGGGGTGTCATGCGTATGAGAGCACGGGGACGGCTGACGCACTGCACCTGTGTCTCCTGCATAAACTCACACCACCGACCACGTCACTTACTCCTGGCAGCATTAGAACCAGAGTGACAACAGCACTACGTCCGTAGCACTGAACTTCAACAGACTGATTCCTAAGCCAGAAATCACAAAATCGTGGAATTAGTGATGAAAAAGAGCAATAAAACTGATGTCGTTTCATTTAAAACTTCTTCTGAAGCTAAATGTCAAGAATTTAGGAGAATTAAAGTAAATGGGTATTAAAAACACTGCATGTCCTGAAAACTATAAACGACATCAAAATCAAGTTTGTAATTGTTTTGTTCACAGTCATATAATAATTCCACATAATTAATTTCAGGAAAATAATTCCAAGAAATGTGCTTTATCCCTGAAACCGGTGCACATGTTCCAGCATGGGTTAAAGCCTGATGTTCTACACATGGATAAACTAACGTCAGGGAGGATGCTGGATGTCTGGGGAAATGTGACCGTCACCGCCAGGTCACAGGCATCGGGGTGTCCATGTTACTTATCCCGAGGAGGGAACTATCTCACACTAACTTCCTGTCCCTCTTCTCCACGTCAACTAAGACGTGCACACAAGAGGTGCCCAAGGGACACTGGAAAGCCAGTCACAGGAGGAGCAGGGGGTCCTGCATGGGAGGTCACAAGGGGACAGACGCTGGGGACGTCACTTACACGTGCCAGCCCCTCAGTGTCGCAGGCTCCGTGGGGCCTGCTCAGCCTCTCAGCCCGCGTGCAACCAGGTCTCGGTGATGTTCACACCACAGGGACCATCGAGGAAAGCACGCAATTACCCTGGAACGCACTGGACAACGGAGTCAGGTCTGCCTGTCCCAACACAGCCAGGCCCGTGGGGCGGGCGCCCCCAGCAGGTGCCACGGCTCTGGCCTTGTGCCTAGGGACAGCAGAGGCGGAAAGCTCTGTCCTGGGAGCCCACCACACCTCCCCGAGTCTCTAAAACAGAAAGGCTCAGACACCAAGCATATGCTTATCTGTTAAGTTAAAACTTCTGGAAAAAAGTTAAGTGAATCCTTTCAATGTGTAAGAGGGAGTGACAGGGCTGATCCTGAGTGACAGTCAGGTCCCCATGAATGTCACAGCTCCACCTAGACTAACACACACACCAGGAGAGTACGTTGACTCGTAGCCTCCTGACAGAAAGCATGGATGAGCACTAAGTTACCTGCTAACACTGGTGAGCTGTAGATCAACGATCCCACATGATGGTCCCAAACCTTTGGACAGACACACATTTCTTTAGAAAAGGTCAAAATGTTGCCATTATTGCTAAAGCTTGAACTAATACTTCTACACAATTACCAACGAATCTATGAAAACGGTGTTTGAAAAGACAGTAAGTATACATACGTAGTAAAACTGTACGAACACAACAAAAGACATCAGAATCATACAGAAAAAAGACTAACAACCTATGGGTTTGGAAGACCCCAGATGAGGGAGGCTGGAGACACTCCAGCACCTAACCCATATTTCTGGCATCACGTGCTCCGTTGACCGTGTGACAGGGACACATGAACACCTTTCACTGTCACAGAAGCCACGAGCCCATGGGCACCATCCTCCACGTACGTATGTCTGCTGTTTCCAGGTGAGAAGGTGAGACACCGCCCAGCTGACGTCAGCAGCAGCAGTGAGCGGGCGCAGCCCCGAGCAGGGCAAGCGACACCTGCCAAGTGGGTCTCACCGGGGAAGGGCTTCCAGATGACAACGTGCACTCAGCCGCTCCCCTGTCTCCCTGCAGACGGCGGTGATGACCCTCCACCTTTCTTTCACTTACAACGTCCAACGTCATCACTTTGTCGGTAAGATAACAATCACAACACTAGTGAACTTGGAGTTGGATAGAAACTGAGCTTGCATTTTAACTTATTTTCTTCTTAAGCCCAATTTAGTTCTGATTGAATCCTCTGACACTGGAAAACGGCTCTTCTGCTCCAGGTCCCTCAGAAATACCGTGGAGATAAATTAATGTTTCCATGCCCAGGCCTGCGCTCGAGGAGGGTCCCCGTTTACATGAACGTTGGGACACAAGAGGGCGCTTGCAAGCGCCACGCTGGCATCCCATACCCAGCCGGTGAGCCAGCCCCACCTCGGGCCCAGGGTCAGGATGGCAGAACTAGGCAGAATGTGGCAGAAATGAAATTGTACACGTGCAGTGACCACAGCAACAGGCATCACACATGCCCACGATGCTTAGCTGTCGCACGCCCGCCCCCTTACCTTAAAGCTTCTGTCCTCAGACACTGAGATGATGACATGAGCCTGCCAAGCACAAAACTCAGCTGCAGTCACGGGGCCCTGGTGCCCCTCCAGCGCTGCGAGTGTAGACCGACTCTGGGGGAGTTAGCGAAGGAAGGTCAGTAGCTGAGTATTATGGGAATTACTGTCATTAAGAAGCTCTATGCATCTCACAGAAAACTGTCTATTCAAATAAACTCTGCCTTACATCATCCCCTTCCCAACTAGAGACTGTCCGTTTATAAACCAGGAAGTCAAAATCCGGCCGGCTGGGCGAAGGGGAGCGTAAGCATTCCGGGGCCACATGAGCAGTGAGTGTAAAAAGACATGTCATCGACACATGACACTGACCCCTCCACGTGTGAGCGAAAGTGTTCAAGGTAAGCAAGGTGCACGCAATGCCCCAATCTGCCTGACACATGCTAGGCCCGCCGCCAATTTAACCATCATAAGATTTCGTGCCAAACATCCTTCTTAACCTAAGTTTGTTAACATGGAGGTGGCAAAAAAACACTTTGCAGGCCAACAGCTCTGTTAGCTGCAGTCAGGACACCAGGCCTCGGCCAGCATGTACCCACAGCTTGGCTCCAGCAGATCACGGGCCCGAGGAAACACAGAGCGCACGCCATTTCACAGTCAAGTGCGAGCTTTAAAACTCACAGAACCTGGAAGTGGTGACACATTTACTTAAACTAGTCCCAATTAAGAAATAAATGAGAAAAGTCTAATTCTTGACAGAAGCAAATCTTGGTAAAAGAGACAAACAAAAGGACCATGCTCTGAGGGTCTCACAGTGATCACTCGAGCAGAAGAACACCAGGGAAGTAAGTGTCTCACTGCACGTGGCTGTTAAATTCTCCCCTGATGTCCAGGCTTCACGTAAAGGTTTCACGATGCACGTGAAAGGGCAGCACCTGATTCCAATCGCAAGATAAAGGATTTATCATCTATTTATTGTCATCAATTTCCCTTAACGTGTTCACAAAAATTCGCCCAATGCAAAGCACTGCTCAGAAGACAGAGACGGGTGGAGCTGAGCAGTCGCGGGGCCCTCAGCTGTGCGCCCCTGAACTTCTGTCGCTCGGGTCCGCCTTACCTCAGAGTCCAGCACGAGTATCTTGCTTCCAGCGCACACGGCAATGACACGGTCGTCTGGGCTAAACCTTAAACACAGCACCTTTCCCAGCAGGACGCCCAGGACGGTCCCTCGAGGACTCAGCCCTGCGGGGGTTAATCAGAGGCCATCAACGTGGGTTTATCAGCAAGCCCGCGTGAGCGCAGTGAAGTCGGGGGACACTGGTGATGGAGCCCCCATTCCAGAATGACATGCAGAATGACAATGAGCTCTGATGCCACCGTGGCCCTTTGGGAGTAAAAAAACACAGAATCTGAAGGTTCTCCGGGAAATACGTGGAACACAGGACCTGTGACAGGAAGAGGACTCAGGTTGCCAGCACAGCGGCCGTCTTGCGGGCCGCGCGTGCACACGCCAGGCGAGTCGTGCCGGTTGGTCTGGGCATTCCCCAGGCTGCCTCCTCCCTGACCCCCCAGCTCTGGGCTGGGCCGCGTGACCTGCTTTGGCCCATGTCGGGCGGGCAGAAGGGCCAGCGGGCCCATCCAAGCATCAGCCTCCTGGGCCTCCCACCTCCAGGACAACGTCTCCAGGCTGCCCTGCAGGTCCCAGGGTGACAGGTAAGCCGACCTGCAGCTCCCAGCAGGGACATCCGACCCACCCACCACCATGCAGCAGACCCCATGCCCACTGCGGTCTGGCCCTGCCGCCCTGAGGCTGCTTGCTGTACAGCAAGGCCACGTCCACTGTGGGAGCAAAACGTACAGGGAGGAAAACGATTCTCACCCTGACGTCCTGTTCTGGCGGGGCTGGCTGAACGGAGCTAATAAGCCACTGTGCACGTACTGCAGGCATGTAGCCAGGAACCCAGCAGGCAGAAACGCCGGCCTGCGTGGAACTGTCCAGGGGCAGCCAAACGTGAGGCGGCCGGGAGAGGGGGCTCAGCAAGAAAACAGGTGACAGTTATCGGCACAGAAGCACTTCTAAAAGCCACAGGCAGGTGCAGCCAGCAAGGGAGTGAATTTGGATGGAGGAGAAGAAAAGCCCACCCTGCAGCTGCGACGTGAAGGTGGGAGAGCGCGGGAGCCAGCAAAGCAGCCTGGGAACGACGACCACCAGGCCTGCAGGGCGGGGCTGACCGCCGACCCAGCAACCTGAGGCCCTGGCCACACACTGTGTTCTCAGTCCGACTGCGAACACACCAGCCCTGGGCACAATGGTGCTGCCACTCAGCACCCCCCACGCAGCACCCCCACACACTCCGGAAGCAAACCGGGCGGTGCAGCTTCCTGAGCCGGTGGGTACGAGAGGGCTGCCCCCCCCCCAGCCCCAGGCAGGTCGAGAAGGAACGTGTCTGACCCACTGCCAAGCGCACGCGCACCGTGCGGACGCCACGCGAGCAGCAGGGCCAGGTCTCAGAGCTCAGTGTCTGGCTGCCGTCCTTGGGACAGATCACCCACGGCCCCAAACAAGGTGCCGCAGAGCAGCTGAAAAGTAAGTCTGGGGAACAGCCCCTTCTGACAGGAGGGCTCCTGACTTGCAAATACCTCTGCAGGGGTCATCGTGTATGTGCAGGCGTGTGCATCTACTACATATGTGTGTGCACTGTGTGCATGTGCACGCCCTATGTGTGCTTGTGTAGGTGTGTGCATGTGTGTACCATGTGTGCATGAATGTACTGTATACATGTGTGTTGTGTGTGTACTATATATGTGTGCACAAGTATGTGTGTTTATGCATGAATGTACTATTCATGTGTGCATTATATATACACATGCATGTATATGCAATGTGCATGCATTGTTCATGCATTTCCATGTGTGTTACGTGTGTACATGTGTCTGTTGTGTGTGCGTAGATACGTGTGTGCATGTGTTTGCATGTGTTTGCATGCATGCATGTGCATTTATGTGTTGTGTGCATGCTGTATGTGCATGTGTCTGCATGCCTTGTGTGTACATGTGTGCATGCTTCATGTGTACATGTGTGTACGTGTGGACTGCATGTGTCCTTATGTGCATACATGGTTGGTGACACACCAGTTATATTGGAGTGATCATACCACAAATTAAAGAAGATGGAGCGTAGCTATTATACAGGCTACTGCCTAAAATTGACACTTGAGTTTTACAGCAATCCTGTGAATGCTCAATTTTACTCTTAACTGTGGTCTACACCTAACTTGTCAACGTCACCTCATAAAACTCAGAATTCTGACATCATGTTCCCACTTCATGGGCTCGTTCTCACCTCCTCAAACAGGTCAAGCTCTTGACATGCAGGCCTAAGCCCACATGGTTCCCTCTGCCTGAATGCTGTTCCCAGCACTGCCACACCCCACACCAGCCCTGCCAGCTCAAGTGCCACCTCATCAGCGACCGCAGCCCATGGCGGCGCCCTCCATCCCCCCGTGGGCTTTCCCCACCGCGCCTCCCACACCCAGCAGCATTTGCCCGTCTGTCTCCTTGTTTCTCGTCTGTGTCTCTCCGGGCTGTAAACCCACCACTGTCTCCGTAAGGAAAGGATATTTCACCTCGCCCACGTGTCTTCAGAGTTCCCCCAAAATCAGATTTCAAAATAAGAAAAGCAGTAATATTAGCATCACTGAGCCCTCAGGATCTGCCCCACACACAGCCAAAGTCAGCAGGCTCGAGTGGCCGGGTGTGTATGCCACACGCAGCGACCCACTCAGCATCTGGTTTCAAGGTTAAAGGGGTCAAGCAGAACCCCACGCCCCCTCATGTTACCAAGTATATGTAAGGACAGGTTTCTCCCTTTGTACATTTTGTAAAATATGGTTTAGATTTCCATGTACCTTCAAGAACGTTCTCTCTGCACTCATCCAGGCTCCACATTATGACATAATCCGGTGAGGCAGAACACATCAGAAGTGGAGCCGCTGCGTTTCCGAACGCCACGGCAGAAATGGGCTGATGGTGTCCTCTCAGGACCAGAAGCTAAAAATTTAACAAAATACAAAAAACCCACAGAGTGGAGACAACATTTACAAAAGAACATAACAGAGCCTCAAACCCAAGAAATTAAATAGACTGAATCTTTCAGATATGCTTATGTCACATGTGAATTTCTAACTCCTAGACTCCCGTTCCCATCTCAGGACTAACTTCCCCTCTCCAGTTAACCACTGCACTGTTCTCAGTGTTACAGCCACACACACTCAGACGACACAGGGCACCCACCCAGGGCCTCGGTAGTTCCTTTCTAAACACATGTGTGCTGCAGCCCACTCCGCACCAGCACAGGTGACAGCTGTGCCGGATCTGATGGCTGAGGAAGTAACAAGGATCGGCCGGCAGGAGGACGGCTCTCGGGTGGCACTCGGGTGGCACTCGGGCGGCTCTCAGGCGGTTGGGTACCCAGGCATGGTTAAGCAACTGCTGTGAGCCAAGCAGTGACATGAAACTAGAAATGTGGGCGCAGGGCGGAGGGAGGGCGGCGCCCTGGCAACCCCACAGGAGTTTCATGGAGCTCTAGGAAACTGGAAGCCAGCAAAAAATGGACAAGCGGAGGAAAACCATGGCCAGGTTCATCTGTCAGGAACAGAATCTGCTGCACATACAGAAGAGAGACTGGAGCGGGGTAAGGTGAGACCAGAGTTCTCCAGGAGATGCAACGAAGGCCAAACTAAGCGGCCGAGCCGGAGATGGGGACGGGCTGATGAATGGCAGTCTGACCAGTGCACATGGCGGGGCGGAGGAAAGGACGCCAGCAAAGAGAATCCGTGTGGATTCTTCAGAGCCAGTTCTCCCACGAAGACATCCACCGGAAGGCAGCTTCCTGACAACTCCAGTAAAGCCCATGAAGAAGCTGAGACAGAGATGAGGCTAGGGCACAAAAATGGTGTAATTAAATAAACGCATCCTTTTCAGGGGCATGAACACAAGTATCTTATTGAGAGAAGGGCAATGAATTCTGCCTACAAGGAGTTCGGAGAACACAGTCAATAGCCTCAAGGCTGAGGACTCGGTATATGTTTTTTCTTTAAAATACTATGGATGGACTTTATGAAATTCTGCTTTAAAAAAAAACATAGTTTGCCAAAGTGGGGAGAAGGCGCGTGCTGCTAAATGCTCTAGGCTCAGAGTAGGAGCCCAAAGGACCAGCCCCAAGGAGTGAAGGTAGGCTGGACACAGAAGGGCCTCCAACCTGTCTTCATCCCTGAACAGGTTCGGGTGATCTGGGGTTGCCGAGACTCTCAGCCAGCCAGCTATCAAAAGCAAACACAGATTTTCTCTGGAAGAAGTAAAGATCATCCAGACCTTCAAACTAGCTGGGCATTTTTTTCATATATAATGCCCAGCAACCAATCAAAAATAATCAGGTATTCAAAGAGACAAGACCATCCGGTCGAAAACCAACAGAAATAAGAAACCATGAAAAACACCCACGGGCCATCCGGATGGCCTTGAAACAAACCCAAAGCTGATCCAGATGTTAGAATTACTAGATAAGACATGAAAACTGTCATTATAACTTTATTCCATATGTTCACAAAGCTGGACAGAGGCACTAAATAGATTTTTAAAGGCCTAAATCTAACTTCAAGACATGAAAACTAGAGTGACACGTGAAACTTCTAGCGTGATGAACAGCAGATTAGATGTTGCAGAAAAGGAAACAGGTGACCTGAATAGGCCTATGTCCATTACACAAAATACATCGGTAATCAATAACCTTCTAAAGCAGAAAGCACCAGGCCCAAGTGAGTTCACTGGTGACTTCTACCAAACATCTAAGGAAGAAAGCATACCAGCTCACCACAGTCTCACTCGTAAGACAGAAGCAGAGGAAACACTTCCTTTACTCATCCCATGACGCCAGCACTCCCCTAACCCCCAAACCAGACAAGGCTATAACAAGAAAACTACAGAATAATATCTCTCATGACATAGATGCAATTATGCTCAACAAAATATTGAAAATATTAGCAAATCAAAACCAAAAATGTATAAACAGAATTATATACCATGACCCAACTGGAATTTACTCCAGGTATGCAAGACTGATTCGGCATTTGAAAATCAATTAATGTAATTCATCGCAACAGGCAAAAGAAGAATCTCATGATCATATCAATAGGTGCAGAAAAAGCATCTGACCAAATCCAACACCGATTCATGATCAAAACTCTCAGTACATGAATAATGGAAGGAAACTTCCTCAACTTGTAAAGAATATCTATAAAATACTAACAGCCAACATCACATTTAATGATGAGAAACTAGAACTTTTCCCACTAAGATCAGAAACAAGGCAAGAATGTCCCCCCTCACCACTCCTTCAGACTGAAGTTTTAGCTAATGCAATAAAACAAGAAAAAGAAAGAAAAAGGAATAGTGACTGGGAAGGAAGAAATACAACTATCTTTGCTCACAGATGATATGATGCCCCAAAAGCACTGACAAAACAACCCTGAAACTAAGCAGTTATAGTAAGGTTGCAGGATACAAAATTAACATATGAAAGTCCATTGCTTTCTTATACATACATCAGCAATAAACAAGTGGAATTTGAAATTTAAAACACAAAAAATACGACTTTCATTAACACCCCCAAAAATGAAATACTTAGGTACAAATCTAAGAAAATGTGTACAAGATCTCTATATGGAAAACCACTCAACTCTGTTGAAAGAAATCAAAGAAAAACTGAGTAAACGGAGGGCTATTCCAGGCTCATGGATAGGAAGACTCAATATTGTCAAGATGTCAGTTCTCCCGAACTTGATCTGTAGGTTCAGTGCAACCCAGTGAACACCGACAGACGAATGCTAAAGTTTACATGGAGGCAAAAGATCCAGAATAGCCACACAACATTGAGGAAGAACAACAAGCTGGAAGACGGCTACTACGTGGCCTCAAGACTTACTAAAAGCTGCATATACCTTTCAGAACAGTGTGGTATTGGTGAAATCCCAACACCAATTGGTGAAAGAAAAGACAGGCAGATCTGTGGGAGGGAATACAGAGCCACAAATAGACCCACGTGAACAGTCAACTGATCTTCAACAAAGGAGCAAAGGCAACACAATGGAGAAAACTACAAACTCCTAGAAGATAACACAGGAGGAGATCTAGTGACGGGCTTGGCAATGAAGTTTTAGAATCATCAAAGGCAAGATCCGCCACGGAAAGACTTGATAAGCTGGACTTGATGAAAACTAAAATTTTCTGCTCTGTGAGAGACACTATCAAGAATAAAAAGACAAACCACAAATTGGGAGGTGATACTTGCAAAAGATTATCTGATAAAGGACTATTACCCAAAAATATACAAAGAACTCTTAAAACAAGAAAACAAACAACCTGATTTAAAAATGGGTCAAAGACCTTAATAGACACCTCACCAAAGAAAATGTACAGATGGTAAGGAAGCACATGAAAAGAAGCTCCACATCCTATGTCTTCAGGGAAATGCAAATGAAAACAGCAGTGAGATCCACCACACACCCGTTAGAACGGCCGAAATCCGGAACGCTGACACCACCAAATGCTGGCGAGGACGTGGAGCAGCAAGGATGCTCGTCCACTGCTGATGGGAACGCAAACGGTGCAGCACTTTGGAAGACTGGTGGTTTCTTATAAAAATAACCATACTCGTACAGCTGAAACTAATTTAAAAAACGTGTATTTCATAATAAAAAATAATTTAATAAAAAATTAAAAAATTTAAAAATTAAAAAAAATAAAAAATAACCATACTCTTACCATTTGATCCAGCAACTGTGCTCACTGGTATTTACCCAAAGGAGCTGAAAACTTAAATCCACACAAAAACCTGCACTTGGATGTTTATAGCAGCTTTAGTTATAATCGCCCAAATTTGAAAGCCACAGATGCCCTTCAGTGGGTGATGAATAAACAAACTGTGGTCCATCCAGTGGAATATTACTCAGCACTGAAATGAAATGAGCTGCCAAGCCATGAAAAGACACGGAGGGAACTTAAATGCACATGACTAAGTGATAGAAGCCAATTGCAAAGGCTGCACACTGTGATTCCAACTATGTGACCTTCTGGAAAAGGCACAGTTATGGAGACAGTACAAAGATCAGTGGTTGCCAGGGGCTGGAAGCGTGGGGAGGCATGAACAGGGAGAGCACCGAGGGTTTCTAGGGCCGTGGAAATACTCTGTGCAACACTATAATGGTGGATACCTGTCATCACACATTTGTCCAAACCACACAACGTCCAACACCAAGAGAGCGCTAAGGTGGGCGATGATGGTGTCATGGTGCAGATTTGTCTCGGTAACTGCTGCATTTTCTAGGGGGGAGGGGAGCTGTGTTTGTGTGGGGGCAGGGTATGTGGGAAATCTCTGTACCTTCCTCTCAATTTTGCTGTGAACCTAAAAAAATAATAAAGCCTTACAGTACAAAAAAAAAAGGTAAAAAGTTGCCCTCCCCCCCCAAAAAAAGCCAGAATTTCAAAGGAATATTATCAGGGATAAAAAATATCACCTTGGGGACGGCCGAGTGGCTCAGTTGGTTAAGAGTTGGCTTAAGAGTGTGAGCTCTGAGCAACAGAGCCAGTGGTTCGATTCCCACATGGGCCAGTGATGCTGCACCCGAGCTGAGCTGTTGCTGAGCTGTCAAGAGCTGGCAGGATGGCTCAGCAGGTGAGAGCACGTGCTCCTAATGACAAGACTGCCTGTTTGATGGTGGGCTACACCCGTCCGCAACTAAGACTGAACTCGGCACCTTGAGCTGAGCTGCCACCCGGATGGCTCAGTGGATAGAGCGTGCGCTCTTAACAACAAGGCTGCTGGTTCGACTCCCACATGGGATGGTGTCTACGCCCACCCACAACTAAGATTGAACACAGCACCTTGAGCTTAGAGGCCACGAGCTGCCAACGGGCAGCCAGATGGTAACTG